AGAGAGAGAGCCCACATTGTCGTTAACTATAATCACCCTACTCTGCTGTGAACAGTAGAATTTATTGTTTGTATCTAACTGCATGTTTGTACTCACTAACCAACCTCTCTCCCTCCACCTATACCCTCCCCACCCCATGCCATCTTCTGATATCTATCATTCTATTAATACTCTCTACCTCCATGAGATCAACTTTTTTTACTTCTCACATATGAGCGAGAACATGCAATATTTGTTTTTCTGTTTTTTTTTTTCTTTCTGTGTTTGGCTTATTTTACTTACCATAATGACTTCCAGTTCCATCCACATTGCTACAAATGACACAATTTTACTCTTTTTTAAATGGCTGGATAATATTCCATTGTGTATATGCACCACATTTTATTTGTTTGTTGACGGACACTTAAGTCGATTCCACATCTTGACTATTGTGAATAGTGCTGTAATAAACATTGGAGTGCAGATATCCCTTTGGTATATTGATTTCCTTTCCTTTGGAGAATATCCGGTAGTAGGATTGTTGGTTCATATGGTCATTCTACTTTTAGTTTGTTTTTTTTTTTTTGGAAAACTTCATACCATTTTCCATAGTAGATATACTGATTTATATTCTTACCAACAGTGTATAAGAGTTCTCTTTTCTCTGCGTCCTCATCAGCATCTGCTATTTTTTGTCTTTCTAATAATAGCCATTCTAACTGTGGTTGCTTTTGACAGATTTTTCTACCTTTTTGTTAATCTACATCATTTATAACATTTCATATTGCCTTTTGGTTCTCTCTTGGGTAGCTTTCATATTGCTTCTCCCCTCCCCAATTATGATGCAGTTATATTACAATGAGGATGCAGGTTTGCAGCAGGGCCTAGCAATGAGATACGTTGTTACACATCCTGGCGAATCTTTCTGTGGACTCTAGGATCCTCCTCCTTTGAAAGAGGTCAGCCATCTTTTTTTTCCAGTTCCTCCAGCTTCACGTATCTCCACAGAATACAACACTGCAAATCAGTAGTTCTCTTCATGATCATCTTTATTAGATTTTAAAAGAATATCTCTAAAAGATGAGCATGGTGCCTAAGGCTTTCCAAATGGAGTAAGAATAATACATAGGAACCTAGAATAAAGTTATGAAATGTCCGATACAGTTGTAATGCAGACTTGATTTTTGAAAAGTGTGGCCAGTGAAGAGAAGAGCAAATGTGCTATACGATGGTGAGCAAAAGGTGTTGACAGGCGGGGCGTGGTGACTCACCCCTGTAATCCCAGCACTTTGGGAGGCTGAGGCGGGTGGATCATTTGAGGTCAGGAGTTTGAGACCAGCCTGGCCAACATGGTGAAACCCCGTCTCTACCCAAAATAGAAAAATTAGCGGAGTGTGGTGGCATATGCCTGTAGTCCCAGCTACTTGGGAGGCTGAAGCAGGACAATCACTTGAACCTGGGAGGCGGAGGTTGCAGTGAGCCCAGATCACATCACTGCCCTCCAGCCTGGGTGACAGAGTGAGACTCCGTCTAAAAGAAAAAAACAAAACAAAACAAAACAAAACTGGATATAGGGCAGTGCTTAGGTACAAATCAGAATTAAAACTACATTTCATATCTGCCCCAAACAAGTCACACAGCTTCAGCTAATATTGCTTGCTTCCGTTTGACCTTTATTCAACTCTATCACCTAGTAATTTAGTATTCCTAGGTAATTTCTCTTGAGCTCAGGTTAGAAGTTGTTATTTTTAGTTTCCAGAGTTGCAGAATTTTTTTTTTCAAATAGAGGGAAGTTCATAATGAGATTTTGAAGCCACCTAATCGTATATTACTTTGAAAAACTGGATATAGACTGGGCGCGGTAGCTCACACCTGTAATCCCAGCACTTTTGGAAGCCAAGATGGGTGGATCGCCTGAGGTCAGGAGTTTGAGACCAGCCTGGCCAACATGGTGAAACCCCGTCTCTACCCAAAATACAAAAATTAGCGGAGTGTGGTGGCATATGCCTGTAGTCCCAGCTACTTGGGAGGCTGAAGCAGGACAATCACTTGAACCTGGGAGGCGGAGGTTGCAGTGAGCCCAGATCACATCACTGCCCTCCAGCCTGGGTGACAGAGTGAGACTCCGTCTAAAAGAAAAAAACAAAACAAAACAAAACAAAACTGGATATAGGGCAGTGCTTAGGTACAAATCAGAAAGTTAGAGGTTGCTATTCATATCATTAAGAAATAATGTGTCTTATGAAAGAATGTAGCAGTTTACTGAAATAGAACTCATACCTAGTAATGTAATAATTTTATCTTTAATTGTCGGGAATTTAACTGATATTATGAAGTTCTAATTATAAGAACACTTATTTGAGGTTAAAAATGATCTTATTCTATCACTGCTTTGCCAGTAATTTGATCTCTCTGGAATAGTGGATTATTGTCGGTCCTGTGGGTATTTTAAGGAGAGGTCTCAGAAAACTGAAAATCATGTATGCTGGACCATAATCGTTCTTGTCACCCACTCTCATCTTTCTGTTTTTGTTTTGTGTTTTACTACCCCTCCCCTTTTACTAAGTAGTCTTAGTAGAAGAAAATTTGCATTAAGTTTGTCTTACTGTATTGATATGGCTCCAAATGTTTCTTAGCTCAGGGTCCTCCCCATTCACAGATAAAAGCTAACTAAGGCAAATCAGGTGTTTATTGCCCAAGAGTACTGTGAAACTATTCATGTAATAAAAAATTTGTGTTAGAATTTCACTGTCTTTAAATCCTGAACATCTTCTGTGAGTGTATCTGAAAGCAGGCAGACATCTTCAGTATTTAAGAAACCCTTTGCTATTCTGTGTGGTAGGCACTGTGTTAGTTGGAATTCAACTGTGAATACTCTAGCCAGACTTCTTGTCTGAATAGTCCAGAATAGGGGTCGCGCTAAACTTTCTTTCTTTTCTTTTCTTTCTTTTTTTTTTTTTTGAGATGGAGTTTCACTCTTATTGCCCAGGCTGGAGTGCATTGGCGCGTCTCTGCTCACTGCAACCTCCGCCTGCCGGGTTCAAGCAATTCTCCTGCCTCAGTCTCCCAAGTAGCTGGGATTACAGGCGCCCACCACACACCCAGTGAATTTTTGTATGTTTAGTAGAGACAGGGTTTCGCTGTGTTTGCCAGGCTGATCCTGAACTCCTGACCTTTGGTGATCCACCCTCCTCGGCCTCCCAAAGTGTTGGATTTACAGGGTGAGCCACTGCGCCTGGCCTGCCAAACTTTCTTAAATGGCTAGATGTTAAATATTTTAGGCTTGAGGGCCATCAGGTTTCTGTTACAACTAGTTGGCTGTGCCGCCATTGAAGATACAAGAATGGTGTGACTACGTTCTAATAACATTTTAATTCCCAAACAGGCCAGCTGGTTGCATTTGATCTGCAAGTAAAGTTTGCCTGACGCCTTACCTCGTCCAGAGGATAACGGGAGAGAAAAGGGATTCAAAGATAAAAATAATTTAGCTGGAATATATTTCTTTAAGTAAACTTATTACACTCAGTAAAGAGTCTTAACATTTTTACTTGAATTAAATAGTGGTAAAACAGGCTGGACACAGTGGCTCACGCCTGTAATCTTAGCACTTTAGGAGTTCAAGGCAGGCAGATTGCTTGAGCGCAGGAGTTCAAGACCAGCATGGGCAACATAGTGAGTCCCTGTCTCTAAAAAAAATACTAAATGATAATAATAATGGTAGAACAAAGTCAATTTTTTATTGAAACTTGACATTTTATTGGCATATGACAAAGTAGCATTAGTAGACTAGCTTGAACAGTACAGTAATATTCTGTCCTTGATGCCTTTCGCGTCATTGTAATATGAGCTTTCTGGTTGTTTTAGAATATGTTTTCAGCCTGAATACTATTCTAAAAATATAATTTACTGTCATTCATAACATAACAAATGACTCAGGTAGCTGCAAGGCAGTGAATTAAGCAGAATTAGATCATTTTTAAAATAATGATAAGAGCTGATGATGTAAAGTGAAGGTCTGTATTTAATTTGGGAGGGAAATGCCTATTTTTGTATATTCAAAGAGATGGAGTTTGACATCCCATCACAACTTGTTACAGGTTGAACTTGCCCCTGTTTTTTTTTTTTAACAGATCAAAAAGTTCCTTCCCTTGTGTTTCTTTTTTTTTCTTTTTTCTTTTCTTTTCTTTCCTTCTTTCTTTTTTTTTTTTTTAGAAGGAGTCTTGCTCTGTCACCCAGGCTGGAATGCAGTGGCGCGATCTTGACTCACTGCAACCTCCGCTTCCCGGGTTCAAGCGATTCTCCAGCCCCAGCCTCAGCCTCCAGCGTAGCTGGGACTACAGGTGCATACCACCACGCCTGGCTAATTTCTTGTACTTTTAGTAGAGACGGGATTTCACCGTGTTAGCCAGAATGGTCTGAATCTCCTGAGCTTGTGATCCGCGTGCCTCAGCTTTGCAAAGTGCTGGTCTCCTGTGTTTTTGTCAGCATTCCACAGCTGCTATAAAGTGTAGTGGTGGTATCGCATGCAATTTGTATACTTAATGTTTGGCCATTTGCAGTGGGCAAACTGGCTGTGTGGGGAGCTGGTGAGATGCTGCTTGTGGGGAGTTGTTTCCTATTACTCTGTTTTATCTTTGTTTAAATAAGAGTTCCTTTGTTCACTGTTTCCTCCACACAGAACAGAGGATTTATATCTTAGTGTTCATTCTCAACTTTCTTGTTTTCAAAGAGGAAAACATTTGCTTCGCTTGGCTCATTTCTTCTCCAGTGCACCCGGAGGATTTTGAAGGCTTATGCCAACAATTCTTTGGGGCAGTTGGAGTGTAACCATTGCTAAGTAGCAGTTCAGTACTAATGACACTCATTTTAGTTTAACAAATCATTGTGCGTGTTGCCATTTTTTATTAGGGAAAACATCTCTTTCCTCTTTTCCAAATACTCAACATGAGTCCTATGATGAGAGTGAAAAAGGAGTGAAAAAGGGTTGTGTTCTTGTTTCGCATCATCTTACCCAATCTGCTATTTTGTCCCTCTTCTATGTATCACTGAAATTTGGTTCTGATATGCTATTAGGCAGTGTACATTGCAGAGATTATGGATAACTGTCCGAATTCTGAATGCAGGCATGATTTGTTCAGCTCAGAGTGTTAAATTTCTGTGTTAGCTGCCAACATTTAAAAGTCAATTGATTTCCCTTTTTGTCCTCTGTATCATCTAGCCAGCGAATGCTAACTTTTCTTTAAATAGTGATGATTTTTCTTCCCCAGGCTAAAGACCTAATAGTCACACCAGCTACCATTTTAAAGGAAAAACCAGACCCCAATAATCTGGTTTTTGGAACTGTGTTCACGGATCACATGCTGGTGGTGGAGTGGTCCTCAGAGTTTGGATGGGAGAAACCTCATATCAAGCCTCTTCAGAATCTGTCATTGCACCCTGGCTCATCGGCTTTGCACTATGCAGTGGAAGTAAGTACATGGGAATTAAAGAGAGTGACGTGCTTGCACTTCACTGTGGGTACTAAATAGCTTCTCCTGCTAAGATAGCTGTTGTGCAGTGTAGGGCTTTATCATATTTACCAGGGGAAGCCGAAAATGTCTTTAAAAATTTTCCAGTAGACAGTTGGATTGAAGATAAATCTTAGCAGCTAATTTTTCAGATAATCTTGTATTTTCTGTGATGTCAATAAAAAATTATTTAGAGCAAACAGAAGGGACAGCTGGTGGGAAAATTGGCAATTAAAAAGCCAGCACTGTTGATATTTTAATATGTCACCTCTCTTCTTAGATCTTCTAATAATTGAGAAAGAGTCATTGAGGACCATATTATGATTAGATTTTAATGTTCACTCCATGTTTTCATGACCAGCAATAATGTCTAGTTATGCATGTTAAGGAACATGTAATTAAATGTCCTCCTTCAGGCATGAGTTGAAATAATTATAAGCATAAAATGTTCTTTCCCTGGGCCTTTTCAGGACACACAGTTAATCAGATGCACAATATATGTCCCATTATCTTGATTCTCATTGTATTTTACTTTTCAATGATTTGGACATCTTTCCCAGAATAATACGGGTGCTGGAAATAATAATAGTCTTCCTATTAAGTGTTAAAATATGGTAATAGTCTTCCTATTAAGTGTTAAAATATGGTAATAGTAAAATATTAATAGATATAATGATAAAATAATGACTTTTGTTTATTGAATTCCTGTAATACATTCTGTATTATGTTCCATATAGAATCATCTCATTTAATTACCTTCAGTGAGAAGGCATGTGATTAAGCATTCAGATTCTGAAGTCAGACTTCCTGGGCTCAAATTCAGTCTCAGTTGCTCTGCAGGAACCTTTATGACTTGGGGAATTTAATCATTTGTGCTTTAATTTCTTTATCTATAAAATTGGGGTAGTTATAATACCTATCTTATAGTGATCTCATAAGTATAAAATAAAGTAATTTAAGCATGTACGGTCATGTCTGGCACATAGTGAGAGCCCAGTTGTTAGCAATAATAATTAACCCTTGAAGCAGTGGTCTCATCCATTATAAAAGGAGGCTCAGAAGAGTTGCTTCTTGACTAATATTACACAGCATTAAGGGTGGAGCTGAGGTTCCAATGAGAAGCTTCTTTGTGTTATATAACCCCTAAATGTATACACCAAAATTACTAGGATGCTTTTGCAATTAACTCCTTCAAAATTATACATTCATATAATTTTGGAAAGATATTCACAGTCCATATATATCCACAAAATGTTGAATTTAGGAATCTAAGTTTCTGTTCCCATCTCTTCCTCTTAGGTCAATTTGAATGAGTTCTTTCATTATTTCCCACAAGCCCTCACCATGTCATAAGGTATAATAAAGAACATGTGAAATAAAGTGCATTCATTTCTTTCTTTCTTTCTCTCTCTCTTTCTTTCTTTCCTTTCTTTCTTTCCTTTCTTTCCAGACAGTCTCGCTCTGTCACCCAGGCTGGAGTGCAGTGGCACGATCATGGCTCACTGCAGCCTCAACCTCCTGGGCTCAAGCAATCCTCCTACCTCAGCCTCCTGAGTAGCTGGGAGCACAGACACATGTCACCATGTCTGGCTAATTTTTATGTGTTTTGTTGAGACTAGGTTTTGCTGTGTTGCCCAGACTGGTCTCAAACTCCTGGGCTCAAGCGGTCCTCTTGCCTTGGCTTCTTCAAGTGCTGGGATTACAGCCATGAACCACTGCACCTGGCGATGTGGTTTTAAATTTGAAAGAAAGAATATGTCCAAGCCCAAGTCACTGGTTCTCACACTTAATATGCATCAGAATCACCTGGCTACACCTCCAGAGTTTCTCATTTCTAACACGTTTTCAGGTCACGTTAATTTTGTCGCTCCAGGGACCACATTTTGGGAATTGCTGGCCTATGGGAAGTAAATGAGAAGTGATTTAATGTCATTTCTGGAAGTTAAAAAAGATTTTGGTGGTCACTGGTTTTTGAAAACTCTTTGAAGACTGGGTGGGGTGGTTCATACCTGCAACTTCAGCAGTTTCGGGGAGATGGGGTTCTTGGGAAATGAGCCCTCGACCCACTAGATCTGGTGCTATTTCCACGTAGATAATGTCAGAGTCGTTCAAACCAGAGTGCCTCCATCCTGAATAGGGGCTGGGTGAAAAAAGGCTGAGACCTACTGGGCTGCAATATGGTGAGACCCTGACTCTATTAAAACAAACAAACAAACAAAAAAAACCCCTCCTCTTTGGCCATCTATTTAGATGAGTTGGAATTCATTCTACTTTGATTAGTTTTGCCAATTTAGATTTTTGTAATTAGGGTAGTTTTAAAAAACTCTCAAATTACTGTTATCCTTTGTTAAAAACCAAAATCTTTTATTATTAGTCTTCTGCTTACAATATAAGTAAAATAAATGTTTTGTATTAATAACTGGATTGTATATTGCATAGTTACCACCATGTGACAAAATTAATAGCTTAAAATTACTAGCATCATTTAAAAATTATTTTTCATGTTTCTAGGGTTGACTAGGATGGCTTGGGGTCTGTCACATGGTTGCTGTCAGTGGCTGGTGTTAGAGTCGGCTTACAGGCTTCCTAACTCGTATAGCACTGGTAGTAGGGTCTCTTAGCATGCTAATGATTCATAATTTGTGTATAATGAACAGCGAGGATGACCAGAGGTCACTTTCATTGCCATCTGGGCTGCAAAACTCAAGGAGTTGAAGGCTCTTCCGGCATTATTTGTTCTCCATGTGGCCTCCTCAGCATGGCGGTCAGAGTAGGCAGCCTTCTTATGTGCTGACCTAGGGCCCAAAATCCGTATGTCTCAGCTGACTGAGCCCAGATGGAAGCTCTATTGCTGTTTACGCCCTAGCCTCAAAATTACTCTTTCAGGAAAAATGGTCCAACTGAGTTTTCCCTCTACTCTCACACCACCACCACAATAGTCAACATAGGAGACTTCTGTGACCAAAGATGTGGGGATTTCTCCCCACCACCGAGCAGTGAATCCCAGCTGGGTGTCCTCCAATTCAATTCCCACACTGTTGTTACAGGAAAGGGGTCCCAATCCAGACCCCACGAGAAGGTTCTTGGATGTTGCACAAGAAAGAATTCAGGGCGAGTCCATAAAGTAAAAGAAAATTTATTAAGAAAGTAAAGGAAAAAAAGAATGGCTACTCCATAGACAGAGTAGCTCTGACGGCGACTGGTTGGCTATTTTAATGGTTATTTCTTGATCATTTGCTAAAGAAGGGGTAGATGATTCATAAACTTCCCAGAAAAGGGATGGGCTATTCCTGGAACTGAGGGTTCCTCCCCCTTTTTAGACCTTGTAGGTTAACTTCCCATCATTGCCATGGCCTCTGTAAATTGTCATGACACTGGTAGGAGTGTCTGTTAGCATGCTAATGCATTATAATTAGCTTATAATGAGCAGCGAGGACGGCCAGAGATCACTTGCATTGCCATATGGGATTTGGCAGGTTTTGGCTAGCTTCTTTACCACATCCTGTTTTATCAGTGGGGTCTTTGTGACCTGTATCTTGTGCCAACCTCCTGTCTCCTACTGTGACCTAGAATACTAACATCCTGAGAATGCTGCCCAATAGGTTTCAGCCTTATTTTACCCAGCCGCTAATCAGGATGGAGTCGCTCTGGTCCAAACACCTTTGACATTATCCGCCTGGAAATAGCGTCAGATCCCTTGGGTTGGGGACTCATTTCCCAAGACCCTAACCACCCCCACCCGGCCCAGACACCAGTCACAAGTCCTGGCCTCTGGAATGTCTGACTGACTGGCATCAAGTTGGAGTTCCCATGACCCCCTCTTCTGGTTTGATTAATTTACTGGAGTGGCTCACAAAACTCAGGGAAACACTTAGGTTTAGTGGTTTATTATAAAGGATATTGCAAAGTGTACAGATGAAGCGATGTGTAGGGCGAGGTATTGGGGGACGGAGTGCAGGGCTTCCATGCCTTCCCTGGGTGTGCCACCCTCTAGGAACCTCCATATGTTCCACTATCCGGAAGCTCACTGAACTCATTCTTTTGGGTTTATATGGAAGCTTAACGTCAATATTCATTCCCCTGGGGTATGAGGCAGGACCCTCACTGGAGAGGGTTTTATATTTTATTTCATTATTTTTAAAATATAAGATTGGGTCTTGCTATGTTGCCTTGGGTGATATTGAATTCCTGGGCCCAAGTGAGCCTTGCACCTCTGCCTCCCAAAGTGCTGGGACAACAGGCATGAGCCACCCAGCGCCTTTGGAGAGGATCTTAAGACTCACAGTCAGAAAGGAGGACAGGAGGTCAGAGAGATTCTGCTTCCTGCCCCTGAGGCCTAACACACCCAGCATTATAACAAAAGACTGTAACAAGGGCTATGGGAGTTACCAGCCAGGAACTGTAAATCACACAGTATTATTTCTGCCTTACTCTTTTCAGTCATGATGGTTACAAAGGCCTGTCCAAGTTCAAAAGGAGGAAAAAAGCACTCCACTTCTTGATGAGGAAGGTCAGGGTTCTGGAAGACCCTGGGGGACTGGAAATATTGTATGGCTATTTCATGGAAAATACAGTCTGCGAGATACATCAGTGATAAATGGGGAGATATAGTGGATGTATCGTTTTCCTCTGAGTGCCAGATTGGGTTCTAGGACTTCACAGGCTAGATATTGAAGTGACTGCGTTGTCTAGGGTATATACCTTGGGGTTCGTCATTTCATGACGAACAAATTTAGGACAAAGACTCACACGAGAAGTTTAAGAGTGGAGGTTTACTAGCAGAAGAGAAAGAGAAACAGCTCTCTCTAGAGAGAGAGAGAGGGATCTTCAAGTGGAAAAGACCATCCAGCAGCGGATGAGCTGGATTTTATAGTCAGGTTTGAGGAGGAAGTGTCTGATTTACTTAGGGCTAACAGATTGGTTTGATCAGGTATGACGTTTACATAGCGCACCGGGAAGTC